GAAATGTAAAGGCTTCTTATATTAGATTGTGCCATAAGTTCTTTCCATGTCACGATATGTATGTCCTCGAGCCGGCCATGTTTGTGAACATGCAGGATTATCTATTCTCAGTTTATAGCATCGTTTTCAATCGCCTCACAGCTCTTTCAAAGTACATTTCGTTGGTGACAAAGTCTCTTTTAAAATCTTTTTCTACGCCGTTCAATATGGATAGCCAAAAGAAGCATTTGCGGCATGTTATGCTTCATTGCTTTAAAAAAGGTAGTAGTGCAAAGGACACTGCAGACGAGATTTGCACCGTTTATGAATGCGGTACTACGACTATGCTATACTACGACCTTGCCCCATCCGATTATTACTTGTTCCTTTCATTAAAAAATTCTCTCCGTGATAAACGTCACAAATCCGAAAGCGAAATAAAAACACACCTCGATGAATATTTTGCAAGTAAGTCTCAACAATTTTGGAAAGAGGGCATAACGAGGCTTCTTGAGATATGGAAGAAGGTAATAGAGCAAAACGGTTCATATATAACACAATAAATTAACCTTAAACAACAAATATCGTCTATTGATTTCGCATCAAAAAGAAAAGAAGAAACTTTTGGGACACCCTAATATATTTTTATGCGCTGAATCTGAACCGGGATGGAAAAATTGTTAATCATCTTTGGTTTGTGAAATAAATAAATGAAAAATATTTATTTTTGCTATTTTTACCAAAATATTTTGAAGATAATAATTTTTGTCCGATATTTTTAGCAACTGCTTTGAATTGTACTAAACTTTCACTGTAAAACCAAATTTCATTTATAATGATTGAAATTTGACGATTTCTGTTTCTGAAGTATACCGTTTTCAAATTACTCGAGAAATACTGAAAATCATCGAGTGTACTTTCATTTAATTGCATGCAGTACGTACGTTATGTTAATAAATTAATTTCAATGTATTGGGTTGGCAACTAAGTGATTGCGGATTTTGTCAGTAGATGGCCTTTGCACATTCTTTTGTTTTGTCAATGTATTCAAGGCACCTAACTTATATTGTTTTGTTGTTATTTGGATTTCCGCCTTTAATTTAGTTGAAAAATTGTATCGATTATTTATTTAGTTTCGTTTTTATCCCAATTTAAAAATGGAAGAACAAGACGCGCATTTCGGATATATTTTATCGTTTTATTTCCGAAAAGGCAAGAACGCATCGCAAGCACGCAAGAAGCTATGTGCCGTAAATGGGAATGAAGCCTTGAAAGAAAGACAGTGTCAAAATTGGTTTGCCAAATTTCATTCTGGTGATTTTTCACTGAAAAATACGCAACAATCTGGCCGTCCAGTTGAAGTTGATGAGACCCATATCAAGGCGATTATCGATTCAGATCGTCAAAGCACAACACGTGAGATTGCAGAGAAGCTCAATGTATCGCATACATGCATTAAAAAAAAATTAAAACGGCTTGGCCATGTCAAGAAACTCGATCAGCTTAAGGAAATTCATTTGACGCAACGTATTAGTATCTGCGATTCGCTTCTGAAACGCAATGCAATTGATCGATTTCTGAAACGACTGATAACTGGCAACGAAAAGTGGATAGTTTATAACAACGTTAATCGGAAAAGATCGTGGGTGATGTAAGATGAATCAGCCCAGATGACACCAAAATCTGAGATTCACTAAAAATTTTGTATTTCCCTTCTTATTTAAAATCCGCAATCACTTAGTTGCCAACCTAATAATTCATTTTACATAGAAATCGTTGTTAGCTACAACTAATATAGAAGAATGTTTACAGTTTATTACATTATTATTTTCATATTTTACATGTCTTATGTACATACTTTGATGTACCTTAAATGCATAAACATAAATTATTTTTAGATAACGGAAATGTGCATAATAATAGTTAATATTAATATATTTTTATAATAATATACATATATATGCACTGTAAGCATTCTTGTCTTTATTTGATTTGACTTCTTGACGTACAAAACCTACTAACTTGATGAAAAACGAAGTTTAACATTTGTATTATTATTATATAAATTACAAGTTGCACATACACGATACGTTGCTTTTAAATAAATCAATTAAATTTGTTATTGTAAATTAATAATTATACAATAATTCATTAACATTCATATACAGGTAGCCCTCCTACAACACGGTATCCAATAACACGGTTTCACTATAACACGATTCATAACTTGCGGGAACCCCCCTACAACACGGCATCCTATAACACGGTTTCGCTCTAACACGATAAGAAAATTGCAAAAACTTTTGTACAGTACTGTACTTCTATATAACCAAATACGACGAAGAAATTTATTAAATTAAGGTTTCGTTAAATGAAAATAATATTTTTGCTTTTCTTTTATTTTGTGTCGTACATACATTTATATTTTTAATAAAATTTAAGTTGTTTATGTAGAATTAAAAAAAAATTTGTTTTCAGTAAGTTTTCGAAACATAACCTCCCTTTTCGTATTGGCTCTGGGTCTCATACAACACGGTTTCACACAATATGACATTTTCTACGAACCTATCTATCGTGTTATAGGAGGGTTACCTGTATTTCATCGTACAGGCGGAATCAACGTGATAGTGTGAACAATTTTTGCAAATATCTCTGAAATTAAAGCCAAGCGGCAATTATTGTTCGGACAAAAGGTGTTCAGAATCTCGTCCTCATCGTCAACATGTTCAAAAATCATAGAAATCGACTCACGCATTCTGCAGTTTTTAACAATTTTATGTTTTTTATGAAAAAATGAGCAAAGCACATTACTTTTTCAAGCTCCCTCTATTTATATTTCTTATTGAGGCACAAATAAAGCTTTTTATAAGAAAACCAAAAAAAAGACGCGTTTAGGGCGAAGTCACTAAACTGCATATTTACCAATAACTCAAATAACAATTAGAAATGTAGGGTTAATGCTAGATTAATTCTATGCAAACAGAGATCTGCGCGGCTATCAATTGATAATCGACTGTCTTTTAATAACAAAACAGATTTATTTAAACTATTATAAAATATTACACTATTTCCCGTAACTCTAACTCTCAAACACACGATTCTCTACTCTACTCACTACGTCTCGACACGCATTTTGTCTCGCCTGCACACTTGCACCTTTATTTAACCACTTGCGCTATAAAGACGTGCCACGCACGTCGAGATGCTTTTGTTCCAAAGCCGCCAGCGACGTGTATACCACGACAATTGGCATTTGTCGCAGAAACAAAAACGACGTGTTTGTCACGTCGGTTAACAGTTACCTCGCAGACGCGGTGCGGCGTCAATGTAACGCCTTACCGCATGTTATATTGTAGATGGCGACACGGCAACCGAAAGTTAAATAAATCGTAGCTCAAGTGGTTAAGCTGTCGCGCTGGAAACATCAGCGACGTTCAACTGACGACTGACTCGTATCACCGCGCGTGGTCGGCCTTATGTGTAGTAAACGACATCCAAATCCTACAAGCGATCAAACGTTGTCTGTCGCATCTGAAGAATATTTAGCAACTGGTAATAAGAAACAGTCGAATGTTCGCAGATTCTTCCGCGTTCGGTGATAGCAGACTGTCGCGGGCTCGCGGAATATTCCGTGCTCGGTGATAGTAGACAGTCGCAGGCTCGCGGAATATTCCGCCCTCGGTGATAGTAGACAGTCGCGGCTCGCGGAATATTCCGCGCTTGGATGCAAATGGTTTAAGAGCGGTATCAGGTTCGACTCGGGCGTTCGGGATGTCTGTGGAGTGCGTGGGTACGGATGGGTGACCACGTGCAAGGATTGTATGGACGAGATATTTATGACTGGATCAAGTGCAAGCAATGAACGAAAGTCTAGGAATGCGTCCGAGTTTCTGAAGTACCTGGCTGGCCCACCAAGAGCGAGGAAATGAGTGATCAACGAAGAGAGCCTGTCTATGAAAAGAGAGAGTGTTAGACTTTAACCGTTAGAGTCCCAGACAGCACTATCGCGCTGTTCAGATTTTATGTCGAGAAAACCCAGCACATTTCGAGCGTTGTGCACAAGTGACTGTGCGTCACCGATTGTCAAAGTCGCGCGCTCAGATTTACTGACGCGAGTACATCACACAGCTTCTTCTTTTAATGCAAATAATATATTTTACAATAGGTATAATACTATAATAATAGTGCAATAATACATTACAAAATAAAACATTTTGTATTTCATTATCTTCTCAATAATTTTTATCGAACAAAACTTGAAATATTTATAAACTTACAGTACGCATATGTAATAATACAGATGTATTTCATAAAATAACGAATTACAAATTAAAAATATTTTTGTGTTATGAACAAACAATTTAAATGGAGAGTAACACTTATAATTTGCAACATCGGTGTTTATCGAAACATATTGGATGAATTCCTTTTTTACATTGCACACAAATTAAATGTGATCTTTTTATTGTATTTTTGGTGCTGCATAAAGTACAAGAAGCGCTAGCACGCTGATTGGTATTCATCGACATAAAATAAAAGAAGCGCTATCGCGCTGCTTGGATCTGGTCTTGCTCATTTAGAGAAAGCGCGGTTGCGCTGTTTGGGATTCTTCGACGGTGTTTTTTCAAAACCCCCTGGGACTCGAACGGTTAACCACTTGCGCTACGATTTAATTTTCGGTTGCCGTGGTACGCTCTACAATATAACATGCGGTAAGGCGTTACATTGACGTGGTATACACGTCGCTGGCGGCTTTGGAACAAAAGCATCTCGACGTGCCTGGCACGTCTTTATAGCGCAAGTGGTTAAGTAGAGTCATGATACAAATGGGTTAATACTATTTCCTTTGCTAGAATCCTTCCTAGCTCGCAATACCACAGAAATATCTGCAAAATTGAATTATTATTATTACTCATTAGTATTCGTTAATTTTTCAGTAATAAACTGTAAATATGAAAATCAAAAGTATGTTAAACGTTTCTGTTGTTCTTCTTGTGTATCTTGTGTCTTATCTATTTTAGGTCAAGTCTGCGAAAATTAACCGAAAGCTATGTTTCTGGATCTAGCAATGCTTCTATCTTCAACATCATGGAGCGATTTATTCGTACAGTGCGTGAAATGGAAGATACGATATTAATTCCCAGTCGACTTCTGGATTTAACCGTAGGAGACTCGCAGGATAGGCTTCAGTTGGAAGGCATACGCGGTTCTATCGTGAAAGCAACTATCGATAACACCGATTTATATCGGCTTTACAGCATGATTAGTCAAATGAAAATCGAAATATTATGGTCGCAGGATCATATGAACACTTTTCAAGACGAAAACGAGGATTCTGAACCAACAGAGAGATTTAAATACATTAAAAGTTCGAGTAGTATGCAAAGTATCTGTACGTCCTCCAACTCGGAATCCAACATTACGATTGAAAATTATTCCGAAACGGATGATGAAGATGCCGTCAGCCATGCTGTGCGGTCTTTCAAGAGACACTTGCGCGGATTGTACCATAATATTGAAAAGATGACATTGGCCGCTGAATATTTAACACTTAGATATCAAAATGATATTGATGCTTAAATATAACCATTTATTGACCGGCTAAAGCTATGTATTTGTATTTAGATATAATCTATTTAATCTATCTAAAATACGTATTTGTATTTATATATTAAATACATATAAAGTTGTATTTTTATTATATCTAAATAAATATTTATATTAAATAAATTATATTCATTACATGTACATGTGATAGCGTTTAATGTACTATTTCTGGTTCTTATTAAATACAACGTAAAAATAAACATTTTTACAATATTAAACGTAATATTTTGTCTACAATAGTATTTTAATATATAGCGTTTCGTCTACTTTTGTTTGTTCTACTTTCTTGATATCACGTATTATGGAATGTTTGCTGTTACTCTTTTTGAAACAATAATATGCTTTTCAAATTCGAATTATACTAACGTTGCACCGCATTATATCCATTTGTTGATAAACGAATAAAGATAATAAAATTAACTATTAGGTTATCCCATAAGTTCTTTCCGCGTCACGCTATGTATGTTCTCGAGCCGGCTATGTTTGTAAACATGCAGGATTATCTATTCTCCGTTTATAGCATCGTTTTCAGTCGTCTCACAGCTCCTTCTAAGCACGTTTCGTTGGTGACAAAGTCTCTTTTAAAATCTTTTTCTACGCCGTTCAATATGGATAGCCAAAAGAAGCATTTGCGGCATGTTATGCTTCATTGCTTTAAAAAAGGTAATAGTGCAAAGGACACTGCAGACGAGATTTGTACCGTTTATGAATGCGGTACTACGTCTATGCTATACTACGACCTTGCCCCATCCTATTATTACTTGTTCCTTTCATTAAAAAATTCTCTCCGTGATAAACGTCACAAATCCGAAAGCGAAATAAAAACACACCTCGATGAATATTTTGCAAGTAGGTCTCAACAATTTTGGAAAGAGGACATAACGAGGCTTCCTGAGATATGGAAGAAGGTAATAGAGCAAAACGGTTCATATATAGCACAATGACTCAAATGTTATGAAATGTTATGAAATTCTTATGTGGACTTTGTGAATGTTTGCAACTATTTATTTGATATAAATAAAGTTTCAAATTTGCGTTTAATTAGATAATTACATGTTTCTTAATGATTTTCGTCTGAATACTTAAATAGTAGATAAAATTTTATTTTCCAATGATATTTAATATTTTATAATTTTAATGTTAAAATGAACGCCATTCTTTTGTTAAAATAATAGTTAAGTAGCGATTCCTGACATTTTTAAAACTTTGTATCCCCGTGATACAAGAGTCTGTGACACGAGCGATAAAATAATATAATAAATAATATAACAAGAATAAATATTGAATTGAAAATTTGATCGATATAAATTTTGTGACATCTTTCTTTCTTTCCATCAAATCGAGGATACAAGATTAGTACAGTTTATGTAACACCGCTATATATTTTGCAAATCTATCCCATAAAATGTTTAATTGCTAAGGTTAATACTTTTTCCAACCAAGAAGTTTGCTTACAAGTACTGCGATCACAAATATCTATAAAACAATCGGTAATGTAATATCTATAAAAGTAATCAGTAATATCCATAAAATTATCAGTCTCTATATGTATTCGTAAAAAGGTTTTTTAATATTTTAGTTAAAACATTCACAAAATAAGAAATTAAAAAATTGGGAAGATTAGAAAGGATACTAAAACCACAATAAAACGTAAAATTGTATAATAACATTTGTTCTACTAATTGTGAATTCAACATATAATATATTTAGCGAATACTACCAAAACTAGATCAATGTTTCTTGCATCGCTCATTGTCAGTGCTAGAAACATCAATAAACCATTATAACTAGTAACAGTAAAGGCTATCTTCAAAATATTTTTCATTTAAATGTAAAGTTCTTTCTCAGATGTTTTTAATGGCTTCAAATACTTTTGATACTACTCCTTGTGAAAATTTTGTACGAAATTAGTTATGGTAAAATCGTAGGTATGGTAATGAAGGCTTTCCAAAATTTTTTGTAAACGAATACACGCGTAAATTTCACTAGAATTTCTGAAATAAAAAAGACTATGCAATTTTTTAAAAGTATGGGTCAGTAGCTTCAATTGCATATACGAATTAAAGAAACAAACTTTGTTATGAAATAATAGAGCTTTGCTGTGAAATGTCCAAAATTGGTATTCTTTTTAAGGTTATGTAAGAATTAATTATTTCATCAAAAATTCTGTATGTATAATTAAAGAGTATTAGAAAGCAGCACTCGAAAAAGTAAGTTGGATGAAAATTAATCGAGACATTGATTTACTTAGTTTATAATAGAAGGTTTCAAGGAAAACGTGTTTGAAGATCTACATCGCCAATCAAGCATTTCGTTGCATCTAATTAATCTATCGTATCTTTTATTTTTGTGAACGTTATTTTATTATTTGAACGAATTATTTTTGAATATAATATAAATTTATTTAAATTTAAGTAGCTTTTATAAATTATTTCAAATTTATACTTTTATTCCGAAGTTGTTTATAGCAACTAAAGATTTTATTTTTATAATAAAAGAACAAATATAAATTACGAAGCTATGTATAACGACACAAAAACGTTACCACGAGTAAAATGAGTGCGATCGATTTCACGACACATAGACTGAAAGACTGAATATTGTAATATCACTCCATTGTAATTTTCGCATAAAGAATGCTGTTTTCAAACTATTATGATTAATTTAGATGCATTGTATAGGTAACACGGAAATATTAATATTACGATAACTAATTTATAAATTTAATAGAAATATAACAAAAAATTAAATATAAATAATATAAAAACATTAATATGTTTGAAATGAACTATCAATATAAACAATATAAAAAAAGTTGCATAATTATATATAAACAAAAATCTTAAAAACTGAGATGAGGACTGATGATCGAAAAAAGTCGTTTTTTGAATTTACAGATCCCTGTTCAATCGTATCACTGAAAAATTCTATGTATTAATATTTCAAGAGGGAAATGGACCAATTATACAAATTAACAGATATCATCAATAGCAGAGCAATAATTTTACTTGTAAGTAAAATTACCTAAATTATTGTATAGTAAATCTTTCGTCGCTTATTTTAAAGAATTGTAATAATTGTGAACTATTGCAAGAAATTATAATAGACTAGAACTAATAATTATGTCGAATAATTTTTAATTTAATTTAATTTAATAAAAATTATCAATTTAAAAATTTTGCATTTAATAATTTTATTTAAGAAAACACGAATGTAATAATTATATAAACTAAACCAAATTATAAATTTTAAGAGTACAGGACGATATTTGTATCGTGATTCAATGGAATCGTTCAGACGACGATTCTCGTAAGATACAGTGTCACGATACTGATTTTCAATATCCTCGACTAGATGTCAGCGTAACGCAATATATAGCGTAATGCTTTTTTTTCAATGGATACCAATTGTATACGTAATTTAGCGACAACGTTAAATAGTAATTCTTAAAAAAAAGTACATATTTATACCGATTTTCTGTATATTCAGATTGGAAATTGTATAAGTATACTGCGTTGTATGAGAATCAAACACATATTTCAGATGCATTGCATACGCGTATCGTGATATAAGTATTGTCGTGTGGAAGAGCTCAAACATGAATATAAATTATTTTTGCACAAGAAATAGAAAATATTTCCTCGTTTAAAAAAATTGTCATTTTATTAAAAAATAAAAAAAAGGGGAAAACGAAAAATAATTAAAATAATTAATATTAGAAATATTAACATAACATTATAATTTAATGAATATATAAATGTCTCGACAAAATTAAATATAATTTAAGAAAGTAAGTAAAATTCGTTAATTAATTTTGATAATAGCCTTGTTAAATTGGTATCAAGAGTAGAGATGTGTATCTTTAATACATTTTCTTTATTTCAAATTTTGAAACTAAGTAAACTAAATTGCATTTCATTCTTCATTATTTTATATAAAAATTTATATTAATGTTATATTTATAAAAATGTATTTAAGAAAGCAAATGATTGTCCATGAACAATTTTAAAATATAATTTGTAAAAGAAATACATGTGAACAACATGCACCATATTAATTGGATATAACGACAGTAGCGACATCTGTAGATATTTCTTTTTTTAATATGAAAATAAAATACCGCCAATTCAATGTTGATCGCATGTATGTTAAATTTTTCATTGATGTTGTAGAAGTAGAAGTTACTTTTGATTTCATTGTACATAGGCACACATAGAAAGAAATTTTGAAATAGTGTCGATTTGATTTTAGCTCCTCAATGTTTTGACGTGCATGGCAATGGCGGATTTTATGTTTATCACATATTTTATATTATCGTTGACGCTTGAGTTATGTCCAGGTGGGCAATATATTTTTCAATTAAACATATACTCTAGTTTAATGACAATCTAACAATTTAGAAACAAAATCTCTATTGTCTTTCTTCTTAACATTCTGTACTAACATTTAACATTTATTACTATTCTTTCAATTGAATTTTTTCTGATTTTTTTTTGTTGGTTTGGTACTACTATTTAATTTGGTGTACATATTGAATAACTGCATACAAGTATGCATACGCATTAATTATAAATAATGCTTCATAATGTCTTGAAATATATTTCAATGGTTAACAGGACTCGTTTTTAGGAGAAGAAGAGAAATTTACCTTATTAGAACATGATTTTTCTGTTGAAAAAGAGGCACCACAGAAATCTATAGATATCATGGCTTTTAATGGTAGTTCAATTGGACAACGTTTTAAATGTCACATTTGTGATGGACCAGATTGTTTATATTCGGAAATCTGTTATAATGCAGTTACTGTAATATCTCTTATATTATTATACAAAAAGTCATTACATTAAAGGATATTAGAAGAAGTAATATCTTTCTTAATATTCAATAGTGCTGGAAATCTAGAGTAAGACAATTAGATGGTACGGAAAGTGTAAGTAGAGGATGTACTTCATCGATAGATCAAATGTTATTGATATGCAATAGACAAATGCCTCTACGTGTTGTACACAATAGTAATAAGAAAAGACATGTGAGTGGGTCCTTACGAAGTGCACAATATTATGTTGAATGTTGCCAAACAGATTTTTGTAATGGCGGACCATTTCCAATACTACATGATTTTAATGGAGGTAGATATATATCATACATATATAAATATATACATATACACACACTCACATCAAATATGTGTATATTTATATTTTTATTTTCTACAATAAAATTATACCTTAATTTTTAGATGTTGTTGAAGAGGATTATGCAGTTAAATTAACATTAGCAATTTTGGGTCCTATGGTTGGATTTTGTATTATTGCTGGAATAGTACTGTTTTATTTATTGGTATGTAGGACTCGTAGAAAAAGGACTTTGGCTGCAAGACGTAATAAACTTGTTATAGATTCTGAAATGGAGCCATCTATCCTACATTTCTCATTTTCTTCTCCAACATCCACTACTACGTATCATTCTCATGAACTAAAAGCAACTGCAGCTGGTGATAGTACACTAAAGGTATATCATAAAATATTACTTACACTAAATTGCTTATGTTTAAATTGCTCTGTCTTAATACATAAGTTTATTATAGGTAAATGTTATGATTTAAACAAAATTTTATTATTATATATATTTAATAGGTCTATATATATTAATATAAGATTTCTTGGGGAAATGTACAGTAATTATGATCTTAAGTATAGAAAAAATAATAGTTATAATAGCTTAATATATTAGAAGTTATCTACTATTTGCCATTTAGGCATTAAAAATGATAATACTATATGTAGTGATAACTGTTTGAAAAATTTTATGAATTACTTATACTAAATTACCTGCACTAACATAACTTATATCATACAAGTGGTAGTTTAATTTTGAAAGAGATAATTTAATAATAAAACTAAGCCAAAATAAAATTATATAGCTTGTACATTATATGCAAAAAAGGTATCTGCTAATATATGTTCATAATGTCTTAAAATAGTATTTGCTCTTATTACTTTTGTTATATTTGACAATGGGGGATACAAACTATAATGATATATATTTTATATATTTAAATAATGTATTATATATATTATATATTGGATATTGAATTCTTATAATCAGATAGTATAAATTTAAAAGTATATAATAGTTAAAATATTTTCTTGTTATAAATTAAGTATCATAACATTAATTAATTCAACACTTAATATAATACAGTAGATACAACATGGATATACTTTTTTAATTATAAAATATAAAGTACAGAATATATATCTCAGAAAAATTTAATGTAATTTTTTTTAAACTTAATCTTAGTGTAGAAAATAATTGAATTTTTCATACATTTTGCTAAAAAGAGTTTCTTATAGAAAAATTTTCTTGCATAAAAGTCTTTTATACTGACAATAATGTTTATATACTTTACTTTTAAAACAAAAGTAAAGAGTTAAATATTCAATTAGGCAGGTAAATATTATAGCAAGTGAACAATATATTACAATAATATGTAAATTATTTTGTAAAATCAGTATAGGATATAAATAATCTAATACTAATTTCAGGTATATGTCTAATATATGACTAACTTTAATTTTAATAATTAGCAAAATATTTGTGTACTTATATGATTGAAGAATTATTTTAATGAATTGTATTTATAAAGATATTCTTAAATTGTTTATTTTATATCTTTCATAATTTATGTTTTTGTGCAAGTTAATATTTGAAAATATTGCTGAATATAAATTTGCTACTGAAAACTATTTGGCCAGATATATGTAAACGTTTTTACTGACTGAAAACATGTAATATTTTAAGCATGTGTATGCAATATTTGTATTCATTTCTACAAGATTATATTAGTATTAGTGTTACAAAAATAACTATTCTATCATCAGAAAGTCTGCATATTTGAACATTTTCATCACTTTATTACCTTATAGAATAAATCTATTATCTAAATTTTCTGTTTCTGTAAGTAATTAAATATCAAATTTATATAGTTATTAAAAAATTGTATTCTAGGAATATGAAATTTCGATTTCCTTCTATTTTTATTATTTTTATTCATTTTCCTTTTTGTATTATTCTTTTTGGTTTGTTTCAAAACTTTCTACATTTAAATTTATATTTTATATAAATGGTATATTCAAATAGGAATACTTGGATGGGAGAAGCTTAACTAGTGGATCAGGATCTGGTTTACCACTATTGGTACAAAGAACTCTGGCTAAACAAGTAGCATTAGTGGAGTGTCTTGGTAGTGGTGGTAATGGTGGATTTGGTGGAGAAGTTTGGAGAGGAATATGGCATGGTGAAAATGTTGCTGTAAAAATATATTTTTCACGAGATGAAGCAGCTTGGGCTCGTGAAACAGAAGTTTATTCTCAATTATTACCATCAAGACATGATAATATTCTGGGTTATGTTGGAAGTGATATGACAAGTAGAGCAAGTTGCACTCAACTTTGGCTAGTGACACATTATCATCCAGTGGGCTCACTATTTGATTACTTAAATCGAACACCACATTCTTTGACACATCATCAAACAGTCAGTATCTGTTTGAGTATTGTAAATGGATTGCTTTATTTGCATACAGAAATTCATGGAACTAGAGGAAAGCCAGCTATGGCACATCGTAATCTAAAATCTAAAAATATTCTTGTTAAAACTAATGGTAGTTGTGTGATTGCTGATTTTTCATTAGCAGTAACGCAGGAACGTTTGACTACAGATAGAATTGATTTCAAACAAGGTACAAAACGATATATGAGTCCAGAAATTCTTGAACAAACGTACGTAATATGCCATATCTTAATTTACTTTTTCTGATTTAGTTTATAATAATAAAATTCTAGAAATAATTTTATCTACATATAATGTATTGGAAAGTATAATTTTTTATAAGGCAATTATAAAATTTTAATGCATGTCAAGTTTTATAATTCTTTATTTTTACAATTCATATTTAAAAAATTGTTGATTTTTTGGAATAAATTTGTAATCAGAAAAAGAAATTAATATCTTAGGAAGATATTGAAAAAAAATTAGAATTAAATAAATTTAAATTACTCAATTTATAATACTAATTATTGAACTATGAAATTATATATTATCATCCAGTGTAAGCTGTTGCATATGTAATAATGATAAATACAAAAACAATTTTACTGTTTTGTTTGTTACAATAATAAAACTAACATTATTACACCTACTAATATCTTGATTTATATTAACAAAAATAAATAATAACAGTTAAAATTGAAAATTAAAACTTTATTCTATGTTTTTAGGATAAACATTGAATGTTTGGAAAACTTCCGACGAGCAGATATTTATAGTTTAGGATTGATATTGTGGGAAGTTTGCAGGAGGTGTATAAGTAATGGAGTTGTGTTAGAATATGTAGCTCCATATTCTGAGTGGCTATCTAACAACCAAGAACCCTCTATTGAAGAAATGAGGAAATTAGTATGTTTGGACCAACATAGACCACCTCTTCCCAATAGATGGCACTCTGATCCAGTAAATATCCATTTTATTTATTATCTATTGTATAAAGGGACGAACTATTTTGCTCAATTACTTATAGTTCATAAAAATATCCATAAAATGTGTTTCTTTTTTATTATTCATACATATCTAGCAACAAATTTCTTATTTTTGCAATCCATATTGTTATCTATTGCATTAGTACTTTCTATTATGCAAGTAGTAAATGTAGAAAAGGTTGTTTGAATAGAAATGTGTTAAATAATAATATATATTTTGCAGACATTGGCTGGTTTGGGAAAATTAATGAAAGAATGCTGGCATGGAAAACCTGCAGCACGTCTACCTGTTCTTAGAGTAAAGAAAACACTTGTTCAACTGGCAGCTAATGATACACGTGTTCATTTGTCTCTTGATTAAGTAGCATCTATGGATATGTATTATTTTATGCAAATATTTATTAGTATGAAGAAAATAAGCTGTGTGGCTTGTTCTGTAAATTTATTTCTTCTTTGCAAAAATATGAAAGACAATTATCTCAAGTTTATTCTGTTCATTTATTTTATTATTCATATATTTATAAATATTTTGAATTGAAAAATGATACTTGATACAAGATGAAAGAAAATGAGTTTTTGTTTAATATGATTTTAATATGATCACTATGATTCATAGGGTAATATTTGTGTAGTATATTCTGTGTTCTTGTATAGTGTATTTAGTAGTTTAATTTGTAAAAATAGTTTTTCTTCACAAATACAGTAAAGTTACTATATCTCAGATAGTCTGACTAGGTTGATGAAAATTATGTTCATCACTTCTTGAAATCAATGACTATCTATTTGTATTCAATATGTTAATCGGGTGAATGAGTTACCACTCTGTTATGAAAAAGATGAAACTTTTATCATTTTTATTTTAATTGAATGAGAGAGAATTTGTAGGTATTTTGATATGATCATGTACCGTGGTTGATGATTAAAAACTACTGATGTGTTCGTTATGATTAACATGCTTAACTCGATTATTCTTGTAATTAACTTGACAATTATGACAGTAATTGATAACTGAAGACATACTAACTCATACAAGACATGCGTTTTTGCTGGACAAATCATATATCATGTCATCTTATATAATTAGTTATCACTGTAGTAGCAATTATAAAATATAATTGGTGATACAAGTTTTACAAAAATAACAATAGTTCTTTTACATTATGTGAGTACGTATCACTAGAAAATATCTTGCAGGTGGTAACGGCCGTACTCGAAACATTAATAAGCAAACAAGATTACTAGTGTATCTTTTCGGCATAATATTATTTTTATATGACATGTATGAATGTTAACAAAATTTGTAATAAAAATCATGGTTAGCATCGTCATTTATACGAAGAGAGATTTTATTCATAAAATTCATCAGTATTTTGATTGCAATAATTTTTGGTATTCTACTTTTGAAAAGATTCTATTTTCTTCCTTTAAAATAATTTAGTATATTCATATATTTGTAGGTATTATATTTTTAATATTTTATTAATTTTGTAAATTAAAAATATTTTGCAGTTTATTTAATTATAAATGTAATATTTAAATAATGATTTTAAAAATGATAATGAAATAAATTTGATGCAATTTTTAAATTCAAAATATTTAGTAAGAAATTTACATTTTTTAAAATAATGTTAATATAGTACCTTATACTAAATAAATTGAAATTAAAAAGTCTCTGGTAGATTGCTACCAGAGAGATGCACATCCAAAATAATTCTTAAAAATCTTTGTTTCACTATCGCTTTTATACGAAATACAATTTTTAACCTGATTTTCACTGTCTCATCGTTTAACGAACTTGTTAATAAACCTCTCTAATGAGTTTACTAACATGTTTCAAATGAAACGTATTTTCCCTTCCTTTGTTTCTTTTTCTTTCCTAACTATTGCAGTCTTACAGTTGGTGACTCCGATTAAATTTGCAGTTAAAATAAAAGAGTAAATAACAATCTAACAGCGAAATTAAAAAAAAGAAGCAGTATTAGTATTACAGACAAATTTTTGGGCATATTATAACTAAAACACTTAACTACAGTACCAGTTCGTATTAATATATCAGGCACTATATTGATCGTTGGAATGTCTTATGACATAAATGCTATAATGTATCCAGGATAATGTCAAGATTACAAACTATATGATTGTTTTAATATGTCTCTATAACATGGTCATTACAAATTTTTTTACGTGTTGCATGTTCATCCCATCTAGAAATACAGTTGTACACTGGCTTTTACATCTATAGTTGGATTTATGCTTTAAATGTCAACATTAGCAAGAAGAATCAAATAGCAGGACAACGTATACATCGTTAATTACCAGTTAAGAGGTAATGTAGTGGCTTTTCTACACTTATATGTATGTATATATATATATATGTATGTATATATATATATATGTATTTTAAGTTAGTCTTCGTTATACTGATGCCTAAGGTTTGAGTCTGACAGGAAACTATGCTCTGGATGAAATGTATTTCTTTTTTTTCCTCTTTATTTCCCTTTTTATCAATGCAGAGTTACAGTTTTATATAAAATTTACATATAAATTTATTACCTATAAGAATTGAAGAAAAGAACAGAATAAGTCCTTCTAAAAAGTAGAATGCTAAAGGTAAACTTGATCAGTAAGTAAATAAACTGTATGTATAATACATTTGTGTGGTGTTTATCACATATACATTTATTAATTTTTTTATATATGACACTGTTGTGTAACTTGAAATAGTCCAGTAATTAAAAAGCATTTAAATCTACTTTTGTCAGAAAAGTTTTACTGTTTTATTTTAAATTATTTTATTTCAGATGAAATAAAAATTTAAAACAGTAACTAATTTTATGAATAGTTCATAGTTATTTGAAATTTATTATCACTTATTTTTTATTAATGTTGAATACTAGGTAATAATAACAAATTTAAAAAATTTTTAAAGAGAAATTTATCAGTTTATACTTTTAAATATTTTTACATTATATTTTGTTTAAAATAAATTATTATTATATCTTGGAGATTATATATATTAATTTTTATACTTATATAAAAAATTGTCGTTTAATTAATATGATATTAATATATTAGTATTGAAAATCCATATTGTCAGATCATTAGCTATCCAATTTTTAAGAAATAAAAATATCTTGAAGTAATAGTATGACAGTATACAATTTTTTTTTCTTTTCCATTTTACTACGTGTAATTCTGCAATTTTAGTTAATTATGATGTTTTCAGTAATGATTATATTTATGTAAATATTGCATTTGTAACAAAAGATGCAGATGAATATTAATTAGAATTATTTTAATATTTTGATCTTTTAACGTATATTCCAATTGATTGGAATAATAGACATTACGAGAATTTTCTCTCATCGAATCATTGGTAAATCTTTATTTCTAAAAAAAATTCTGAAATTAAACTTGTCTGATTGTTTAAATACGGAATTATGGGATGTATGAGACTGTTTAGGTATTTAAATAAAAAGAATCTCCGTATTATTAGTGTAAATAATCCGATTTTTCGTATTTAGTTTTCATATTCGTTTACACACCTGTACCGATCATTCGAATTATCTTTGACTTAAATTGATTGCAAGAAGTGGTGAAAATAACTATAAATATTTTATTAGAACAGCATAACCGTATTCGAATTAAATCTACTATACATATATGAATATCTTTCTTATAAACAAACCTTCATCCATTATTTATTATTCCAAAGAATCTTATTTCTATATAAAAGGTTTGAATATGCAAAGACTTTAGTGACGTAGTTTTGTGTTACATCATTTTATAGCTACTAGTGAATTTGTTAATATTTCGTATGTATATATGTAAGTTCATTATTTTACAATTCCTATTATTAATCATAACACGTAATTCACATCATATTATATTTGTCATATATAGTTGATTTTGTTAGATGTTATCTGTATTATTTTTAATAAAACTTATTACATATTAAAAGTATATTTTATTTTATAATTATGCAGGTTAGAATAACATTCATACTTATATAGAATGTCAGAAAGATATATATTTTATTTCCTATTTTGTTATTAATATTACATAACACCAGACAACAAAATTTTAATTATAATTTCCATAGAGAAATAACATTATTTAAATTAAAACATTTTATACTTCCCTTTTCAGTATCAAAGTACAGAACAACACATATGTATATTAATTTAAAGAACATAAATTGAATGTAAAGGAAAAGAATTTTGGCAGAAAAAGATTAAGAAAGATTAAAGAATAAGGGCCGTATTTTTTAATTATAATTTATATAGCTGTAATGATAAACCTAGGAAATACAAATGCGCGTTTTTTACCAGAATTGGATATATTTTATTATGTAGATTCATTTTTTGGAATATTTTGTGTACAAAAATATTAAAATTATTTAGGCTACGATCATGTAATTTAGTGCTACTAATTTTATGTGTCTATTCAAAGAATCAAGTTTTTGTGTCGTTTATTAACTCAATTATTAGTCGGTAAGGTTATCTAAATAACTCAGAATGTTTTTCGTCATATTACGATTATTAATGATGCATAACCTATTTTTATAGTATCGTATAATATTAAACGAAGGATTAATTGTCACAACCATTATTACATTATTCTACACCTTCGGATTGGTAAAGATTTGTGAAAACAAATAGATTTGAAAATTAAATCTCCTTTATTGCTTAAGACATCTAAAAGGAACCACAGATTGCAAATAAATCGCCATCTCCTCCTAAGTAACTGCAAATATTTTGACACATTGGATGGTCCGATAATATTTTCTCGATTTTAAGTGGTTTACTCGAACTTATGAACTTACAAACTCACACGCTTATAAACAATGTTAAAAATCGATAGTATTCGATCGTTTAACACTAAACGTACCAAAAGAGGTTAAATGACCCTTTTCAAGATTTACTTTATAATCGTACATTTATTGTTATTTCTTTCGCTCATTTGACTTTCTGTAAATTCTTATATTATCTGATTGCTTAATTTTTCGCTTTCCGTTTTTCTCTTAACTTATCTTTTATCGAAAAAAATTCTTTGCATACCTTATGTACCACAAAGGATCATTTAACACTTTACGAAATTTACGCATTTTTCTGCAGTTTTCTAACTGGAACCTTGGTTCTGGACTCAGATACACTTCTCGGTTGTTAGAAAGAATTCGAAATATAAGTGAAGCGAGTTCAGATGGAAAAATCTTAAATTTGAAGATAAGCAAAGTGCAAGTGGGAATGATTTTCCAGACAGTGAGGAAAGTCAGCATGGTTATGGTGTCTGACGATGAAGTTGAAAACATTTTGAGTGTTCGTAGAGAACAAAAGCGCCGAAGATTTTTATTTGATTTAC